GTCCACCTCATTCCCTTTCTCTTGGTAATCTGAGGATGCCTTTTGCTTAGCAGTGCATATCTAAAAGAAAGAATAAAGATGATTGATAGTTTATAGAAGAATAAGAGAAATAACTAAAGAAGGATGATCGATAAAATAGATAAATAGATTAGGATCAAGATGATTCAGAGAAAGAAAAGGAGAAAAGAAAGAAGAGAGAGAGAGAGAGAGACAACAAGAGAAAGAATGAAAGAAAGATAATTTGAGAGAGATAGAATCAGTAGATAGAATCATAGATAGATAATAGATAGATAGATAGATAGATAGATAGATAGATAGATAGATAGATAGATAGATAGATAGATAGAAGATAGATAGATAGATAGATAGATAGATAGATAGATAGATAGATAATAGATAGATAGATAGATAGATAGATAGATAGATAGATAGATAGATAGATAGATAGATAGATAGATAGATAGATAGATAATAGATAGATAGATAGATAGATAGATAGATAGATAGATAGATAGATAGATAGATAAAGATAAAAACAATTAAGAGAAAGAAAGAAAAGATAACAGAGAGAGAGAGAGAGATACTGTAGATAGATAGATAGAAACAATGAAGAAAAAAAAAGAAAGAAAGAAAAAGAAAGAAAGAAAGAAAGAAAGAAGAAAGAAAGAAAAAAAAGAAAGACAAGGAAGGAAAGAAAGAAAGAAAAGAAAAAGAAACTAAGAAGGAAGGAAAGAAAGAAAGAAAGAAAGAGAAAGAAAGAAAGAAAAAGAAAGAAAGAAAAAAGAAAGAAAGAAAGAAAGAAAGAAAGAAAGAAAGAAAGAAAGAAAGAAAAAGAAAGACAAGGAAGGAAAGAAAGAAGAAAGAAAGAAAGAGAAGAAGGAAGGAAGGAAGGAAGGAAAGAGAGAAGAGAGAAAGAAAGAAAGAAAGAAAGAAAGAAAGAAAGAAAGAAAGAAAAAGAGAGAGAGAAGATAGATAGATAGATAGATAGAAAGAAAGAAAAAAACAATTGGGGGAAGGAAGAAAAGAAAGAAGGAAAGATAATTGAAGAAAGAAGAGAAAGAAAAGAGAAAGCGAAAGAAAGAAAGAAAAAAAGATAATTGAGAGATAGATACAGTAAATAGATAGATAGATAATGATGAGATGGAAGAAATATCAGTTATTCTTCTCATGTCCATTATTGGGGGTTTCTGTCCCGCAGACTGCGCTGTCCGGATCCGGATGGCGGTGGGTCGGTCTCATATTTATTGTATTTCATATCATACTGTAGGAGTGGAGGGCATGGGATCCGGGTGTTCTGCTCTGCTAATGATGAGCTATGGCTGTAGAGGAGATCCTGACCAGCAGCCCTGACCTGTATGACCCACCAACGTCATCCCGCCATTAAACCTGTTAGCGCTGTGTCTGCAGGCCATGGAGCATTGTTGCCATCACTCTCCGGGAAGGTGTACCATCCAGCCTCTGATTTCTCTGGACAGTGCTGGGGAGGACCCATTGAAGGCCGCAGCTCAAGCCTCTCCTTGTATTTCTGCTATGACCCTCGTAGACCACAGCACATGGGATACCAGCATAAGGCCTGACCAGGCGGAAACCCAACTGCTCATTTCAGGTCCATAGAGATGCCCAGTGTGCTGAGAGCTCTGGCCAGAGTAGGGAAAGGTTATGCAAACATCAGTATCCCTTGCTGGGAAAGTATAGGTCTGGAGGAGTGGGACTTGCCAGGAATGCAGACCACCCTAGGTAACGTGTAATACTGAGCCGCCATGTTTGAAATAACTGGAATCCAATGAATGAAAGGGGCAGGGCCAGGGGGAGTCAGGCTGGGGAGGAAAGTAGACACCATCAGGAGCCGGTGTGACAGAGTGACAACACAGGAGCACGCTGGGAGGCAGGGACAGAGCGTTGTCACCCTATAACAGGAAGTGCCTTCATGGCAGGATCACCATGGATTATTATAATAAAAGCAGCAGAATTAAAAAAAAGAAAGAAAGCAAGCAGTGATTTATTAGCAAACCATATACCTCCCTTGATTCGGTCTGCCCTGGTAAACCAGCTGGACCGTGTAAGGCTTCTGCATGGGGCTGTAACACTCTTCTGTTACTTCTACACTTTTGTATATACAAAGCTTTATGTGAAATGAGTCACTGATGACATTTCTGTAACCCTGCACCAACACAGAGTAGACCTCGGAAAGTTTTGTCTGGTGCGCCATCTAATGGTAATAAACGAATAATGCAGAACTGGTATATATTGCTGTTAGGGCAGGAGTCTCCAAACTCTCAGAACAGAGGGCCAGTTTACTGTCCTTCAGACTTTAGAAATAGGCCCCAGACTTTAGTATCAGTTGGAGAAAAAATTTCTTGTCAGTGTCGGAGAAATAGTGCCCCATGGTTGGTGTCAGTGGAAGGAATAGTGCCCCAGCATTGGTGTCAGTGGGAGAAATAGTGCCCCAGCATTGGTGTCAGTAGGAGAAATAGTGCCCCAGCATTGGTGTCAGTGGGAGGAATAGTGCCCCATCATTGGTGTCAGTGGGAGAAATAGTGCTCCAGCATTGGTGTCAGTGGGAGGAATAGTGCCCCATCATTGGTGTCAGTGGGAGAAATAGTGCCCAGCATTGGTGTCAGTGGGAGAAATAGTGCCCCAGCATTGGTGTCAGTGGGAGGAAATAGTGCCCCAGCATTGGTGTCAGTGGGAGAAATAGTGCTCCAGCATTGGTGTCAGTAGGAGAAATAGTGCCCCATCATTGGTGTCAGTGGGAGGAATAGTGCTCCAGCATTGGTGTCAGTGGGATAAATAGTGCCCAGAGTTGGTCTAAGTGGGGAAATAGTGCCCCAGAGTTGGTGTCAGTGGGAGGAATAGTGCCCCAGCGTGGGTGTCAGGGATAGTGTTCTATCGTTGGTGTCAGTGGGAGGAATAGTGCCCCATCATTGGTGTCAGTGGGAGGAATAGTGCTCCATTGTTGGTGTCAGTGGGAGGAATAGTGCCCCAGCACGGGTGTCAGGGATAGTGTTCTATCGTTGGTGTCAGTGGGAGGAATAGTGCCCCATCATTGGTGTCAGTGGGAGGAATAGTGCCCATTGTTGGTGTCAGTTGGAATAGTGCCCCAGCACGGGTGTCAGGGATAGTGTTCTATCGTTGGTGTCAGTGGGAAGAATAGTGCCCCCGTGTTGGTGTCAGTGAGTGGAATAGTACCCCAGTGTTAGTGTCAGTGGGAGGAATACTGCTCCATTGTTGGTGTCAGTGGGAAGAATAGTGCCCCAGAGCTCGTGTCAGTGGGAGGAATAGTGCCCCATCATTGGTGTCAGTGGGAGAGGAGAGTGCTCAATCGTTGCTGTCAGTGGGAGGAATAGTTCCCCTCATTGTTGTCAGTGGGAGGAATAGTGCCCCATCATTGTTGTCAGTGGGAGGAATAGTGCCCCATCGTTGGTGTCAGTGGGAGGAATAGTGCCCCATCATTGGTATCAGTGGAAGGAATAGCGCCCCATCGTTGGTGTCAGTGGGAGGAATAGTGCCCCATCATTGGTATCAGTGGGAGGAATAGTTGCCCCATCGTTGGTGTCAGTGGGAGGAATAGTGCCCCATCGTTGGTATCAGTGGAAGGAATAGTGCCCCATCGTTGTGTTAGTGGGAGGAATAGCGCCCCATCGTTGGTGTCAGTGGGAGGAATAGCGCCCCATCGTTGGTATCAGTGGGAGGAATAGCGCCCCATCGTTGGTGTCAGTGGGAGGAATAGCGCCCCATCGTTGGTGTCAGTGGGAGGAATAGCGCCCCATCGTTGGTGTCAGTGGGAGGAATAGCGCCCCATCGTTGGTGTCAGTGGGAGGAATAGTGCCCCATCGTTGGTATCAGTGGGAGGAATAGTGCCCCATCGTTGGTGTCAGTGGGAGGAATAGTGCCCCAGCGTTGGTGTCAGTGGGAGGAATAGTGCCCCATCATTGGTGTCAGTAAGAGGAATAGTGCCCCATCATCATGGGAGGAATAGTGCCCCAGCGTTGGTGTCAGTGGGAGGAATAGTGCCCCAGCATTGGTGTCAATGGGAGGAATAGTGGAACTGATCCCCTGTATGACTCTCTCTGCAGCAGCTGAAAGCCAGCAGGAGGGAGAGAAGAAGAAGCCAGCAGCACTGCGGGGGGTGGGTCCATACAAGGGGGCGGGGCAGCAGGGGGAACATATGGTGCACAGGTAAAATGAAAAAGTCAAATAAAAAATAAAAACAAATGCAGCCACCACAACTAAAAAATTAGTATGCTGCAATATAATGTTTTTGGGGGGTTAATACCCCTTTAACTCTGTATAATAATATTAATAATGACACCTATACCAAGAACAGATGCGCTGTCCCTTTAAATGATCTCAAATTAATCAAACATGTAAATAAATAAATTTACAAAATATACCTCAATTGAATCCATTTGTGAACAAATAAATATATAAAAACAAAGATGATATCAAAATCAGTGCTCACATATACAATAACTTAGCATGAATAAAGTGCATCAATAATGGAAAAGTGATTGAGTAAAAACTAAAAATAAATGTCCAATTTAATGCCTAAAGTGTTACTAAACCCCCACAGTACAATCAGTCTGTAGATGCAGTAAAGCATGCTTGTTATACTCACTGTGGAGCCTAAGGGGTTAATCCTCTGCATTGTGTAAAAAGGATGTCTGATCCTGTCTTCTCTGATCCTCCCCTTCTTCTAATGTCCCCCCAAATATCCCCTGATAAAACAGAGGCTAGGGACCAGTTGCACATGCTCAGTTTGGTGTGTATTGCTAAAGAGTTTTTTTTTTTTCTTGGGAGAGTGCGTGTGATCAGCACAAGGTCAACCAGCGCTGTCCAGGCAGAGGTCAGGGGTTCTACATCCTCCTAGAGCAAAATTAAAATTTCTCCTACAAGCTTTAGCCAGTGCTCTGCTGGACACTGATAGAAGTCACAAGACTGCTTTATACTGCTGATGAGAAAATTTATTTAGCAGTTTATATTTACTAAAATAATTGCATTTCCATGTTCTTTATATTGTGGGAGACCGGATACAGTGAATGTGGGGTCCGGGGAGAACGGATATAGTGAATGTGGGGTGCGGGGAGAGCGGATATAGTGAATGCGGGGTCCGGGGAGAGCGGATATAGTGAATGCGGGGTCCGGGGAGAGCGGATATAGTGAATGCGGGGTCCGGGGAGAGCGGATATAGTGAATGCGGGGTCCGGGGAGAGCGGATATAGTGAATGCAGGGTCCGGGGAGGATATACTGAATGCAGGGTCCAGGGAGACCAGATATAGTGAATGCAGGGTCGGGGGGGGAGAGCGGATATAGTGAATGCAGGGTCCGGGGAGAGGGGATATAGTGAATGCGGGGTCCGGGGAGACCGGATATAGTGAATGCAGGGTCCGGGGAGAGCGGATATAGTGAATGCAGGGTCCGGGGAGAGCGGATATTGTGAATGCGGGGTCCGGGGAGAGCGGATATAGTGAATGCAGGGTCCGGGGAGACCGGATATAGTGAATGCGGGGTCCGGGGAGAGCAGGGTCCGGGGAGAGCGGATATAGTGAATGCAGGGTCCGGGGAGAGCGGATATAGTGAATATAGCGGATATTGTGAATGCAGGGTCCGGGGAGAGCGGATATAGTGAATGCAGGGGAGAGCGGGGATATAGTGAATGCGGGGTCCGGGGAGACCAGATATAGTGAATGCGGGGTCCGGGGAGAGCGGATATAGTGAATGCTGGGTCCGGGGAGACTGGATATAGTGAATGCAGGGTCCGGGGAGAGCGGATATAGTGAATGCAGGGTCCGGGGAGAGCGGATATAGTGAATGCGGGGTCCGGGGAGAGCGGATATAGTGAATGCGGGGTCCGGGGAGAGCGGATATAGTGAATGCAGGGTCCTGGGTTTAGGAACACTTTAAAGTCCAAAAATTATTCCCAAACTGGTGTTGCAAAATCACCGCCGAAGACGTGCTCCACTTCTCGGTGCACAAAGTCCTTACCAGAGGTGGAGGACCTGGGTACCATAGGAGGGCAATGCAGCATGTACAGTATAGGTAGGCTCAGCAGCAGCTTGGACTGCACAAATCACACCCTCTGCCACTAGGTGGCTCCAATTAGAAAGGCTCATAATGTTATCAGCTCAGCCAATCAGCTAAAGTAGGATAAACAGGAAAACTGAGCACAATACCAGCATTGCCACTTGGGAACCAACGTGCGTGATGACGTCACACAGAGGCTCCTCCTGGTAGGACCTTTTGGTCTAAGCAGAGATGTTGTCAGCTGATCACTTCCTGTTCTGCTCTACTATCAGTTACATTGTTCCCAGCTATCTCTATAGTTTTGATGGACAAATCTTACAATACAGCAGTGGTTTCCAAACTGCTGCCCAGCAGACATATGTGGCCCTTTTTGGTTGCTTTTTTTTTGCCTTGTGGCAATATTTTATCCACTGACACCAACCATGGAGCACATTTCCCCCACTGACACCAACCTTGGAGCACATTTCCGCCACTGACACCAATGAAGGTATGATGATGGGGCACAATTCTTCCCAATGACACCAAAGATGGGGCACAATTGTTCCCAACGATGGGGCACAATCCTGCTAATAATACCAATGATGGGGCACAATTCCTCTCAATAACACCAATGATGGGGCACAATTCCTCCCAATGACACCAACAATGAGGCAGAATTCCTCCCAATGATACCAACAATGGGGCACAATTCCTCTCAATGACACCAATGATGGGGCACAATTCTTCCCAATGACACCAATGATGTGGCACAATTCCTCCCAATAGCACCTAGGGTGGAGCACAGTTCCTGTTAATGACACCAACGATGGGGCAGAATTCTTCCCAATGACAACAATGGGGAGCATTTCCTTCCAATGATACCAATGATGGGGCACAATTCCTCCCAATGACACCAATGATGTGGCACAATTACTCCCAATGGCACCAAGCATGGAGCACAATTTCTCTTAATGACACAAACGATGGGCACAATTCTTCCCAATAACACCAACTGTGGGGCACAATTCCTCCCCATGACACCAACTGTGGGGCACAATTACCCCCAGTGACACCAATGATGGGGCACAGTTCCTCCTACTGACACCAATGATGGGGTATGTTTCTTCTCAATGACACCAACAATGGGGCACAATTCTTCCCAATGACATTAACAATGGAGTATGATTTTCCTCAATGACACCAATAATGGAGTATGATTTTCCTCAATGACACCAATGACGGAACACAATTCTCACTGACACAAAAGATGGGGCATCAACGCCCACTGACAACACACAAGTTCAACGCACAAAAAAAAGGTACACAAGCTACTTTTTGCCGCATTCATCACACATAGGACAGCCCATTTAAATCAGTTCTGTTCCCTATGTGCATAGTGAAAATCGCATACTCAAATGCATAACAAAATGCAATTTTACGCATATTCTTAAATCGCAAATAGTAGATGCAGCCTAAGGGGTCATTCGATGTGAAGTTGGGGCGGTAAGACTCCGCTGTTGAGCCACAGTTCTACTGCCGTCCAACCGCTACCCCCTTTAGCTAGAGGTAGGGACTGGGGGGGTACATTTGCCGCAACAAGAATTATACCCCGTGTCGCTTTCAGCGAGCATAGAGCCCACCAAACACGACCTGTTCCAGTGTTCAGGACCGTTCTGCAAGCACCCCACAACCGCGCATGCATCACGATACGTCTCCTCACCGCCTGTCAACCAACGATCTTCAGAGAGCTCCGTTAGCATGACCGAGCCCCACAAGTGTAACTTTCAGGCTCCGTTCACATCTGTGTAGTTTGCTTTTTATCCGTTTTTTCTACCTACATTTTTGTGCTTTTTGCAGTTTGTTCAGCTTTTTTTTTTGTTTTGTTAAAGTGGAATTTTTTTATTGTTGCTGGGCAGATTAAAAATGCAAAACACAAAACTAGGCAAAAGCGCACTACCATGCATTCCAACAGCTTCTCCACTGAACTCTATTGAAGCAAAAATGCTGCTTTTAGCTTTTAAAAAAGTCACTGACTCTTTTCAAAAGCGCAGCGGCTCAAAAAAGCATCGATGTGAACGTGTTCCATACGAAACCATGTTACATGGACTGTAGTGCATTTCTGCACAAAGCATAAAGCACTAAAAAAAAAAAAACATTGGTGTGAACGTAGCCTTAGGAGCCTTGTTTTTTAAGAAAGAAAGAAAGAAAGAAAGAAAGAAAAGAAAGAAAAGAAAGAAAGAAAGAATTATAATTATACCCAAGAAAGAAAGAGGGAAATAAAGAAATAAAGAGGGAAACATGACAGAGACAGAGAGAAGAGAAAGAGAGAAGGAAGGAAAAAAGAGAGAGAGAAGAGAGAGAAAGAAGAAAGAAAGAAAGAAAGAAAGAAAAGAAAGAAAGAAAGAAAGAAAGAAAGAAAATGAAAGGAAGGAAAGAAAAAAAGAAAGAAAGAAAGAAAGAAAGAGAGAGAGGGGGGGAGGAAAAAGAAAGAAAAAGCAAGAGAGAAAGAGAGAGAAAGAAAGAAAGAAAGAAAGAAAGAAAGAGTGAAAGAGAGAGAGAAAGAGAGAAGGAAAAGAGAAAGAAAGAAAGAAAGAAAGAAAGAAAGAGAAGAAGAAAGAAAAAGAAAGGAAGAAAAAGAAAGAAAGAAAGAAAGAAAGAAAAGAAAGAAAGAAAGAAAGAAAGAAAAAAAGAAAGAGAAAAAAAAAGAAAGAAAAAGAAAAGGAAAGTGAGAAAGAAAGAATTATAATTATACCCAAGAAAGAAAGAGGGAAAGAAAGAAAGAAAGAGGGAAACGTGAGACAGAGAGAGAAAGAGAGAAGGAAGGAAAGAGAGAAGGAAGAAAGAGAGAAAGAAGAAAGAGAGAAAAGAGAAAAAAGAAAGAAAGAAAGATAAAAGAAAGAAAGAAAAGGAAGGAAGGAAGGAAAGAAAAAGAAAGAAAGAAAGAGAGAAAGAGAGAAGAAAGAAAGAGAGAAGGAAGGAAAAGAGAGAAAGAAAGAAAGAAAGAAAAGGAAAGAAAGAAAGAAAGAAAGAAAGAAAGAAAGAAAGAAAAAAAGAAAGAAAGAAGGAAAGAGAGAGAGAAGGAAGGAAGAGAGAGAAAGAAAGAAAGAAAGAAAGGTCCTATATAGTATAACTAAGTTAAATTATAGGTAAGGTTCATACCATACAGTGTATGAAGAAGAGCTATAGAGGCAGTTCCCAGGCCTGACATCAGCTGGTTCCATGGTGTAATGGTTAGCACTCTGGACTCTGAATCCAGCGATCCGAGTTCAAATCTCGGTGGGACCTGATCTTTTTCAAATTCCTATTTTGTCTATCCAATATTTTATTCATTCCTATATTTGCGTTTATATTTATTTTTTTTGTACATCTTTTATTTTTCAGTTCTATCATAAAAATATATAATAAAATATAACATGTTTCTTCTAGTGACACCACCGACACAGGACATGTTTCCCTTGCAGTGACACCACCGACACAGGACATGTTTCCCTTGCAGTGACACCACCGACACAGGACATGTTTCCCTTGCAGTGACACCACCGACACAGGACATGTTTCCCTTGCAGTGACACCACCGACACAGGGACATGTTTCTTCTAGTGACACCACCGACACAGGACATGTTTCCCTTGCAGTGACACCACCGACACAGGATATGTTTCCCTTGCAGTGATATGACAGAGCGTTTGGTTTGACGTCAGCCCTGTGTGCACAGAGACAATACAGACAATACACCCCAAACTCATCACTCCGCTTTTGAAGGTGACAGGTCCTCTTTAATAGAAGGGTCAGGCTATGTCAGGACTGCGCATGTCAGCCCGGCGGGGAGGTTTGGCTCAGCACACTGAAGATGGTGCTGGGCACGAAGCTCCGCCCTCTGCCCAGCAGCCCCGCCTCCCAACAGTCTGGAGACGGTACCCTGCACTTAGCCTCTCTCCGCCCCCTGCCTCTCAACCCCGCCCCGCCTCCCCGTCCGCCCACTGTCCAGCTCCTCCCACCAGCCGAGACGTCATCGGAGCCTGGAGAGCCCGCAGTATCCCGGCACGACACCGCACACAAGGGCAGCCAGAGGACTCCGCACCCAGGTCTCCGGATTGCATGATTGACCGCCGGTACCGGGGACACCCCTTCCCTCCGCTGATCATTGTGTATGGGGGGGAGGGAGAGATGGCTGATCGGGGGGTGTGGACGGGGGGCAGGGACTGTGTGTGCACTGACAGACAATACACCCCAAACTCATCATTCATGGAGGGGGAGGGATCCTGGATTTGGGGGGGAATTAATGAACTCCTCCCCCCAAAGAGGATTCCCCCCCCCCTCCTTAGAGGTGCAGAGGATGGGGGGTCAGGGTGAGCAACTCAGAGGACAGGGGGTAGCAGGACATAGAATGGGGTCAGCAGTGCAGAGGACAGGTGTCTCCAGGGTGTAGAATGGGGTCAGTAGGGCAGAAGACGGGTCAGGACAGAGGATGGGGGTCAGCTGAGCTGAGGACAGGGTTCTACAGGGCAGAGGAAAGGGGCCAGAGGGACATAGAACAGTGGTCAACAGATCAGAGGACAGGGGTCAGAAGGACATAGAACAGTGGTCAATAGGGCAGAGGACAGGGGTCAGAAGGACATAGAACAGTGGTCAATAGGGCAGAGGACAGGGGTCAGAAGGACATAGAACAGTGGTCAATAGGGCAGAGGACAGGGGTCAGAAGGACATAGAACAGTGGTCAATAGGGCAGAGGACAGGGGTCAGAAGGACATAGAACAGTGGTCAATAGGGCAGAGGACAGGGGTCAGAAGGACATAGAACAGTGGTCAATAGGGCAGAGGACAGGGGTCAGAAGGACATAGAACAGTGGTCAATAGG